TCTCTGAGCTTGGTTCTTTTCTTGCAAACGTTTCGTTACCCGGCTAGGTAACATCTTCAGTGCTGGAATGGGATGGGGTTTGCTCTCTGTTTATATACTGTGTCATGCAACACTGGCAGGGCATGCCACAGTATATAAACAGAGAGCAAACCCTCCTGGCTGGGGTAACTGGGTGCTCTAATCCAACAGATACAGAGTTTCCCGTTTAGGGAAGGTTGTTCTGAAAGCACAACAGAGGGGCCAGAAACTAGTGTCATGTCACGCCTTGCTGCAAGACACAGACCTTTTGCAACAGCTCTCTTTGTTCTTTTTATGATCCTCTTTGAATATCAACCTTCTAAGGTCCCTCACATAGATGTATTTTTTTCAGCTGCAAAAGTCCCTGAAGCAAGAGCTTGTCACTTTTGAAATACGAATTGTAGAGCTCGTGGCTTGCTTGTTCCCCTGCCCCCCTTCCTTTCATAAAAGAGAATACCTGATGTCTCTCGCACTGATTTGGCTGGAGGAACCTCTAAAGTTGAGTTCCCTCCCTCAGTCTCAGCATTCAGGCTGCAGTTGACAATAAAGATGGGGGGGAGAGGGGTTGGGGATAGGCAGGGATGAAATTAAATAGTCTCTGCGTTCGCACATTGCATAGGGTGAAGCCACAATTGACTGGACAATATCCTTAGCCGAAATGAAACAATTAAGTGGGAATAGTTAGAACCAAGATGGAGTAAGGTGGGTTTCCCAGCAGATCACACATACTTCCATGGCTCTCCAATCCTGGATTCTTGCAGAGGGACTTTCTGCAATACCATGGAGAACTATTTGCAGAAGAGATCTCCACTGGCACCTACTGGGGGCAGGGGGCAGGGGAGAAGAGGGTCCCACCTGGTCCTCTGGGACTCATTCTTGTACTTCCTTCCAAGCCACCAGCCTGGGAACTGAGGAAGCAGAATTTTTCTCCCACAGCAGGATCCCCTTCAGGAATCTTGTGTCCACAAGTCAATATCATTTGGCAGAAATTATGGAAGTGAAGTTTAACTTGAAGCTGATCTGCTTCAGATCAGCAACAAGCTCCAAGCTCAGTCTCCTACCAGAGTCTCCAGAAACTCTGGGCCTTGTTCAGAAGGTGCTTAGAATGAACAGCATCTACTCCATTTAAACAGACTGACAGCACATCTGGTCTTTTGTGACATGTTGAGTCTCCCTCAAAGATGGCCTCTTTTTTTAAGCACTTGCACTTTTTTAAGCACTTGTCTTGGTCTGACTGTCCAGACCTCCCACCCCAGTGCTGCTTTGGTTATCACAGGACCATTTCTTAGTCTGACTTTTACGTGCCCTTCTGCATGTTTGGTACCAGAAGCTGAACTGCCCAGGTGATAGTTGGATGATGGCCCTTTGCTGCTTTCAACCTACCTGATGCAGAAACTGTTGCTAAGAATTTGTCCAGAATGCATAACCTGTCATGATGTGAAAAGGGAAGGAACAATTTCTTCCTGCACAAGAACTTCTCCTTGCACTTCTGGGTAACTAGAATCTCATCCTCGTGCCTCTGATGGAATGTCAAGTGTGCTGGTTTTTTCTCTTCCCTCCCTTTCTCCTTTCCTTTCTTGCCATGCCTATTGGATTGTAGGCTTATCTCATCAGAGAAGCCCAGCCCGAGTGTCCTCCAGATGTGTTGGATTTCATATAGTGGGCAAGATGGCAGCTGGGCTACAACACACCTGAACGGGTTGAGCATGACATTGGCCACTGGGGGCAGAAGGTCACTGGTTTCATCCTTACTGGATGTACACCACTGGATCTTTTTCTGTGGGGTTCAGACCCCTGAGAGCTTAAGGGCAGGTGGATTATAGGTTGAGAGTGAGATAGACGTGCAGCGCCTTACAAGTGCTCCTTTGCTAAGAGACCCTGCTTTTCCGCCCCTCCAGCTGAAACACCCCTCAACTTGCAGTTCCACACTCATCTGAGCCCAGAAGAGAGTTGGAGGGATTTGCGGATGCATCCTCAGCTCAGCTCCAACACGGGCTGGTACTTTATGGGATTTGCCCGAGGGGTTGCGCGATGGATAGCTATGTT